AGATGCAGATCATTATTTTGTCTTTATGCTTTTCACTAGGCCTCTGGCCTGAGGAGTGGTATGAAGGGGTGTGTGAGATTGCGACCAAGTCTCCTCTTCTCACCTTTCCCAGTGGAGAGCCACTGCGCTCTGAACTACAGTACAACTCTGCCCTTAAAAATGATACAGTGACCACGGTACAATATTCTTAACCTTGCATACCACAGTAATGTTGTATTTATAACTGAAGTACAAAAAAATTTCTTTTCAGGCTGAGCTCAGCGAACTGCGGGCAACCATCAGTAACTTGCTTGACCCGTCCCCTGAAGGATCTGCTTATATTAATAAGCTCGACTTTGCCATGTCCACATACTTGCTGTCTGTCTACAGACTAGAGTACATGAGGTCAGCCTCTTTTCATTTGCTATTTTTACTTTTTCTGGAGTCAGAATAGCTTTATAATGACTTCTTTTTTTCCCTATTCAGGATGTTGCGATCTAATGAGCCTGACCGATTCCAAGTCATGTTTCGATATTTTGAAGACAAAGCCATCCAGAAAGACAAATCTGGTGAGAACTTCAAAACGTACATTTGAGTCAGTTTTACCTCTCACCTGCTTCCTCTTGTGTTAGTCTCTTTTCTCCTTATACTTTCAGGCATGCTGCAGTGTATTATATGTGTTGGTGATAAGGTGTTTGATGTCTTCCTCCAAATGATGGCTGAGAAGGTATCGAACTGCTATTTTGAAAGGTACATTTTGGAAGAGCATATTGAAAATTGTGAGATTTTGGATGTTTTCAGGCTAAGACCAAAGAACATGAAGAGGAACTAGAAAGGCATGCTCAGTTCTTGTTGGTAAATTTTAATCATACTCACAAAAGGATACGAAGAGTAGCAGACAAGTACCTCTCCGGTCTGGCTGAAACGTAATTCATATTTCTTTAATTTATGTACCTATTTCAAAAAAGTATTCTTCAGTTGTTTTTCTTTCTTCAGTAAATAAATATATGTTTATATTTAACTAGATTCCCACACCTGCTTTGGAGTGGTCGTGTGTTGAAGACTATGTTGGACATTTTGCAGACACTGTCACTGTCACTTAGTGCTGTAAGTTCAAGAAAAAACTACCTACATCAATCTAGAAAATAAGGAAATGTTTAGTAATTTTACTGAGTTTTTCTTATCAGGATATCCATAAAGATCAGCCGTACTATGACATTCCTGACACTCCCTACCGGATCACTGTTCCAGACACATATGAAGCACGGGAGGTGAGCAACAAAAAGGAATCACAATAATCTTCCTCATATTTATCAGTCTCGGTTTATCTGTTCCATTTTTCTTGTGTCAAAACATCATTGTCAATATAAAGTTTATGAGCATAAGCAATGCAGATTTTTGTTTTAATTATTCCACTAAAGTCTGAACACTCATTAATTATTAAAAATGACTGAATCTTGCACTTAATTGCATAGCCCTATCTAGGGGTGAAATTTAAATACTGTACCATGTTACGTTTATATCTGTATCACCACTAGAGGGCATTCGTGTATTGCTGTAAAAGAATGTTATTGCCACAAAAGGGTAGATGACTGTGTAACACCCTTAGAGATGAATAATTCTATATATATGACATTATGTTGTAATGTGTACAATTTTATAAAAAATATTTAGAGCATATAACATTCATATGATTTTTTTCAGAGCATTGTAAAAGATTTTGCTGCTCGCTGTGGTGAGATTCTGAAAGAAGCAATGAAATGGGCCCCGTCTGTTACAAAATCCCATTTACAGGTCAATCCCAAAATAAAATGTATGTATATTATAATCTCCTGAGATTAACACGGTTGTCCTTTGGCACAGGAATACTTGAACAAGCATCAGATCTGGGTGTCAGGATTGTCTCAGCACACTGGCCTGGCTATGGCCACGGAGAGCATTTTACATTTTGCTGGTTACAACAGACAGAGTACCACTCTTGGGGTGAGTATCATAACGAGAATCAAATATGACTGAAAACTGATAGCTCTGTTTTTAGAATTGTTTTAAAAAGATAGCTTGTATTTGTCCCAGAAATTTCAGTATTGCAACATCAAAGTACAAGAACAGTACTGTGCCTCTCTGTGTTTGTGAATTGGGCTATATGAACAAAGTGGAACAATATAAGTAAAATAAAAAAGATTTTTGCAAAAAAATTAAAATAAAATAAAAAATTACCTTGAATTTAATTATTTAAATGATGCAATGCTTTGGTGGCAGTATTTTATTTGCTCAGCTTCAATCATATGGTAGTGCTCATTAAAGTAAAAATTGATTAACTACATCTACCTGTTCCTGATTGCTTCCCAAGCAGTCGGCAATGTAATGTACAGTAATATAGACTCGTGAAGATATTGTGCATTATTATTTTTTATATATGTCTTAACAAACACCTTTGTCTACGTATGTTTTTGGTTTCTAATGAGTATTAAGTGTGCATGCTTACTACTGTATATCACATTATTTTTGCTTGCTAACTTTGCTAACTCTTTCTTATGTGTTTTGGGCTTGCATTCTGCTATATCTGTCTTTATTTTGCTTCATTTTGTTTTTATTACTCTGCGTCGAACTGGCTGGGTTACCCCGTTACATATCTGCAATGGGGTTTGTTGGCTGTTTGGCTTACTGATAATGCTGCGCTGTCCTCTGCCGTGTGGCCATCCATAGGCCGCTTTTCCTCAGGTTGGTCTAAACAGTTAATATTTTGGACAGGGACATACGCATGGTTACAAAAGTGATGTTTGCATCTAGTGTGTATTTTCGTGTGTTAACTATATGCATGTATAACCTTTTTTCATTTAATCTTAAATTGTCTTCAGAGCACGCAACTGACAGAAAGACCTGCTTGTGTGAAAAAGGACTACTCCAACTTCATGGCCTCTCTTAATCTGCGCAATCGCTACACAGGAGAGGTAAAGTGTGTCAGATTTTAGAATTCAAAATTATATATAAATATATAAATAAATAAATAAATATATATAAATATATATATTTATATTATATATTTATATATAAAATTTTGTTTTATGTAACTGTTTTGCCACATTTTGTAGGTGGCAGGCATGATGCAGTTTGCAGAAGCTACAAATAGCCAATCAGATCTTAACAAACTTATGATCAATCAAATGACCAGTGCTTTGGATAACAAAGACCCAGAAACCTTCACACAAGCCATGTTCAAAATGGCCGCTCTCCTTATAACGTCAAAAAGTGAGTTTGAATCTAAGTGGAATCTGAGGTGGTGTGTATTTACTATTCATTCCATACAATCATGCTGCACTTTCTTCTTCTTGCTCTGTCTTTTAGAATGTGATCCCCAACTGCTGCATCATCTGTGCTGGTCTCCTTTGAACATGTTTACAGAACACGGTATGGAGACCGCTATTGCATGCTGGGAGTGGCTCATAGCTGCACACAATGGAACTGAAGTGCCAGTATGTTAAATTTATTATTCTGTTTATTACAACTTATGCCAATATTTAAATGATTTACGTACAATAGTACCAGTAGGTCTTTACTGAGTGTAAGTGTGTTTACGTCCTGTGTAGTTCATGCGTGAGATGGCTGGGGCATGGCAAATGACAGTAGAAAAGAAAATGGGCTTGTTTTCTGAAGCCAAAGCGGAGGCAGGTCCATTGGCGGTTTCTGAGGAGAGCAAACCAGCGCCCTGTGCACCTGACGTTGTACCTCACTTCCTATGGATAGAGGTCAGTCCTTTTTCATGTGTTTTTGTTTGAAGTGGCTGTTAAGTAACTTGGGACTCAAAATTAAAGCTAACTCTTATTTCTCCAGTTTTTAGTGCAGAGGTTTGAAATAGCAAAGTACTGCAGTTCAGATCAAGTAGAAATTTTTATTGCCATTCTACAAAGATCCCTGTCTCTGAGTGTTGGTGGTGCCAAAAGCAGTCTGAACAGGCATGTGGCTGCCATTGGTCCAAGATTCCGGTAATGTTTTTTTTTTTTTCTTAATAATAATTACACTGTTTACAATAAAACATATGATGTTGGGCAAATAAACCAAATGTTTTCATTTTGGACATTTCTGTTCTAGACTCCTCACTCTAGGTTTAACTCTTCTTCATGCTGATGTTGTGACAAATGCCACTATCAGAAATGTGCTTCGAGAGAAGATCTATTCCACAGCATTTGACTACTTCAGGCATGAACCTGTATCTTGAGTTTGAAATAATTTGACACTTAAATTAAAACTCTAAACGCTTTCTAACATTTGTGTATTTTTTTAGTGTTGATCCCAAATTCCCCACTCAGACTGACAAGAGCCTGAGAGAAGACATCAGTATACTGATAAAGTTCTATGCCAGTCTACAGTCAGACAAAAAGTATCTGACAGCCCACCAACTAGTCCCCCCTGGTACTTTACTCAGTACAAATTAGACCAACAAATTATTCTTATTGTAATATTTTTGTCAGTAATGTTTACAATGTTTTTGCAGATCCTCAGGACATGTCCATGAGTTTGTCTGCGATGGCAGTGGCTGACAGTCGCAGTAGTCTAGATGCAGCAGTCGGGCAGAGGCAGCAGGTGGCTCAAGGGTGGATCAATACCTATCCACTGTCTTCTGGGATGTCCACTATCTCCAAAAAATCAGGTAAAGAAACACCTGTAGAGAGCATCTTCAAATTTGGTGCTTACATAAATGTTTGCTGTAGGTTTATCCAAGAAAAGCAACAGGGGCACCCAGTTGCATAAGTACTACATGAAACGCAGAACCCTGCTCCTCGCACTTCTGGTAAGGGCTCTTTGTTGGTGTGTATCTGTAAATACAGTAAAAACTCTTGCCACCAAATGATAAAACAATAGCAATAATGGATTCATCTAAAATAGTGCTCAGGGCTTTACACTTCTGTGGTGGTTAGCTACTATTGTTGTCATAACTGCCCTGGCATAGATTGGCTGAAGCAAGACTCCATTCCCATTTGCCCTTCTGACTACAACCAAACACTCACTCACACCCCACATTCATATTATTCTACTTAGGGAAGGGTCTTACGAAAGGACACAGTTTGCACTGACGCAGTGCTGTACCCCTTTCTTTTACCTGGTATTCCCAGTGTCTCCCATCCAAGTAACAATCAGACCCAACCCTGATTAGCTTACAAGATCTGACGAGACTGGGCAAGGTGGTAGGGTCATAAATACAATCTCATTCTATGTTTCTCTTTAGGCTAGTGAGATTGAGCGGCTGACAACATGGTACAACCCACTGTCTACTCAGGAGCTCGCCATTACTACTGAACAATCTGTGGAGACCAGTATTGGTAACTGGAGAACCAAATACATCAGTCTGACAGAAAAACAGTGGAAGGACACTGTAAACTTGGCTTGGAGCATCTCACCTTATCTTGCCCTTCAGTTACCTGTCAGGTAGCAATGGTTCAAAGATAACTACAAGGCCAAATAAATCATGTAGAAACGTAATTGTATTGAAAATGGTAACAATCATTAGTGTAGTTTTATAGATTATTGTAGACACAATTGACAAATAAAGCAATGTAAAAATATTGCTTATTGAATTTAACATAATAAATTGCAGTTTATTGTTCCCTAGGTTTAAAACCACAGAGGCCATAGTGCCAGAGGTGACACGTCTCGTGAGAATGGATCCAGCTGCTGTATGTGATGTTCCTGAAGCAATTAAAGTGAGCTACAACTTATTGATGTTTCTAAACCATACACTGTATATATAAGTTGACATAGCTAACGCGTTAGCTTCCACCTTCCATATAGGAAGTTTTGCAATGTTTATATTAACCTGCTCTACATGAACCTGGTATTTTTTTCCGCTAATTTTGTCCATTAAAAAAAAATCCTAATTCTTTATATAGAACCTGTCTCCAAATTCGCTCTTGTAACCATTAGCATCGTGAGCTTCATTTGAGTGGCACTGACCGTTATGGTTCCCATCACACTCCTTTAGTCCACTTCTTTATACAGTCTATGTTCTAAACCAGTGGTGTGGGAACAGCATTGCGTATGCAGACATGTAGTAGTTGATATGTGGGCATTAATTCCTATTTTTGAATATATTTTATTGTCCAAATGTATAAATGCTCCCCTTTTATCCTAATTTTGACTGAATATTTTTGTCTCAGTTTTTGGTTACTTGGCACACAATTGATGCAGATTCTCCAGAGTTGAGCCATATTCTGTGTTGGGCACCAGCAGATCCTCCAACTGGACTGTCGTACTTCTCCTCCCAGTATCCCCCACACCCACTCACTGCACAGTATGGGGTCAAAGTCCTACGTTCTTTTCCTCCAGTATGCTTGATTTCCTTCAAACTCAGATGTTTTAATTTCCGTTTTACTTTATTGTTTCCACCATTTCTGACTGACTCAAATATGTGCCACTGTTTTAGGATGCCATTTTGTTTTACATTCCTCAAATTGTTCAAGCACTTAGATATGACAAGGTAAATACTTTACATTGTTAGTACTTTTTGTTAGTCTTAATGAGCTGTCTGACAAAAGCACTATTTGCAGATGGGTTATGTGCGTGAATACATCCTATGGGCTGCTCAGAAGTCTCAGCTACTTGCCCACCAGTTCATTTGGAACATGAAGACTAACATTTTCCTTGATGAAGAGGGAAATCAAAAAGATCGTAAGAAGTTTTATCATTTCATTCAGTACATTACTAAAGCAGGATAGTCATATGTACATGGTTTTTTTTTTCAGCGGACATTGGTGAGCTGTTGGAACAAATGGTGGAGGAGATCACTGGCTCTCTGTCAGGCCCAGCCAAAGATTTCTACCAACGAGAATTTGACTTCTTCCACAAAATCATAAATGTTTCAGCCATTATCAAGTAAAGTGTTTTAATTTTACCCTTTTTATTTGGTGATAACACTTTTGGTTAAAGGTCCCATATTATGTAAAATGTCCTATTTTGAGGTTTAAGCCATTTTATAATGTTACCTTATCAAAAAGTGTTGAGTGTTGAAAAAGTGCTTGAGAAAATAACTCAGCCTAAATTTGCAGGATTTGTGTATTAACAGATGTGTGAATGAAACAAAACTAAACTCTCGGCATGTTTTTGAGAAGGAAACAACATTTCAATATATTATAAAACAATAATATGGGACCTTTAATAAGATGAAAACTTAACAAAACATATCTAAAATGACTCTAGAGAGCATCTAGCTGTTTTCCCAATAACATGTTATGTTAATTACCAGTAAAAGAGGATTGTTGTATTTATATTTCCATGGTCTATTTCCCAATGCTCCACATGTTGTTCATTTATTTCAGTACTGTCTTGCCTTAATGATTAGGTATTGGGCTGGAACAGTGCATGTGTTGTTCTGTTTTGCACTCTACTTCGAGCCACCTGTCTGTATGATTAGGCAATGAACATCTATTATCAGTCCCATGTTAATATTCGGCTGTTATTCTTCCATACTTAACTGTTTGTCAGTCCACTAGAGATTCACTAGAGTATTCCCTGTGCCATCATTTGGTCACTAATTGCACAAATTCAACAACAATCCTGTCCCTTGACTTCTTCATTTGCACTATATTCCTTAGTGGTTTCCTGTGTGTGTGCGTCACCTCTTGTGTGAAATCATCCAGGTGATGTCCCCACAGTAAATAATTGTTATGTTCAAACTCGTCAGGCCTTTTCCTAAAGGGGAGGAGAGGAAGCGAGCCTGCTTGGAGGCCATGTCGCAGATCAAAGTTCAGCCTGGGTGTTATCTGCCCAGTAACCCGGAGGCCATTGTTCTGGACATAGACTACAAGTCGGGAACCCCAATGCAAAGGTTCACCCAGCAACCCATTTTAATGCATTACCAAAAATACTCAAACATTATACTGAAAACTCTGTTTTTCTTTCAGTGCTGCCAAAGCCCCATATTTGGCCAAATTCAAAGTCAGGAGATGTGGTGTTAGTGAGCTGGAAAAAGGAGGTGAGGTGATTTAAAAAAAAAAAAAAAAAAAAAAAAAAAAAATATATATATATATATATATATATATATATATATATATATATATATATATATATATAGAAATATATATATATATATATATATATATATATATATATATATATATATATAGAGAGATAGATAGATAGATAGATAGATATATATATAGATATAGATATTATATTTTTTATAAGTCATTCAATAAAATTTGACTTCTCTATCAAGGCCTATCCTGTCGTTCTGATTCTATGGATGAAACTAAAGGTGATGATGAAGCCAAGCAAACCTGTTGGCAGGCAGCCATATTTAAAGTGGGAGATGACTGCAGACAGGTCATTGATAATTTCACATTGTATTCCCATTACTCGACTTTCTATTAAAGTGCATATTAGTGACATTATGTTGCATTCACAGGACATGCTCGCTTTGCAGATCATCAGTCTGTTCAAGAACATCTTCCAGCTCGTGGGGTTGGATCTCTATGTGTTTCCGTATAGAGTCGTGGCCACAGCTCCCGGAGTAAAAAACATTGTGACTAACTATAGTTTTGCCACCTTATATTTTCAAAACAATGCAATATGCCTTTGTTTTTGAACAGTGTGGAGTGATTGAGTGCATACCGGACTGTAAGTCTCGGGACCAGCTGGGTCGACAAACTGATTTTGGGATGTATGACTATTTCAGAAACCAATATGGAGACGAATCGACCCTTGCATTTCAGAAGGCAAATGATGCACTATATATGACTTTTTAAAAAAAACATTGTTTATTGCTTTGTAAAAATATTTTTCTCTTCAGGCCCGGTACAACTTTATCCGTAGTATGGCTGCCTACAGTTTGCTGCTCTTCCTTCTCCAAATAAAAGACAGACACAATGGCAACATCATGCTGGACAGCCAGGGACACATCATCCACATCGGTGAGTTCATGTAAATGTGTTAATTCAAAAGTTAAACTCTTCACTATATTAACTTTGTATCTACTTGTCTTTAGATTTTGGGTTCATGTTTGAAAGTTCTCCCGGGGGAAACCTAGGCTGGGAGCCTGATATCAAACTGACTGATGAGATGGTGATGATTATGGGGGGCAAGATGGAGGCGACGCCCTTTAAGTGGTTTATGGAGATGTGTGTGAGGGGGTACCTGGCTGTCAGGTCCGTTTCAATACTGCGTACTACATATAGATGATATGTCAAAACAGCCCTTCTTAAAGTACACTTTTGTCATTTTTAGGCCGTACATGGATGGAGTAGTCTCCTTAGTTACATTGATGCTGGACACAGGTCTTCCATGTTTCAGAGGACAGACAATCAAATTACTCAAGTAAGTTTTTTACCCCAACCAAACCCTCCTCTCTAAAATGTGTTATATTAAGGCTTTATTATAATTATTTGATTATTGATTATAATTATTTGCATGTTGTTGTTTTTTTACATAATATTATAGGCAGCGGTTTAATCCAGGTTTGAGCGAAAAAGAGGCAGCATCTTACATGATCAAAGTCATACAAAACTGTTTCCTCAGCAGCAGGTGAGCGTTTTGGAAAACAAATGTATTTAATAAATTTTTTTTACTATATCGTACATTCTGCTTTTCTACCATCTACTATTTCTACTACTATTTAACAACATTTATTTAACATTGTCATTTCTTAATTTTTCAGGAGTAAAACTTATGACATGCTCCAATACTATCACAACCAGATCCCATATTAACTGTTGGTGCTTTAGCATGTGGCCTGGCTGAACTATGTGCGCCTATGTTGTTGTTCTCTTCTGAATATTGTGAAAAAAGTAAAATTGTTAAATGTTGTTTGCTTTAGCTTCCTGGTTGTCATCTAAATATATTTTTGAAAATTCTGATTGAATATTTATTACATATTTATTACATTATTTTAACGTTGTCCTGATGGATGCACTGGTATATTGATGTGTTCCACTGTGAAAAAAAGTGCACGTTTTATTTATGTTCAGAAATAATGCCAACTTTGCCTGTGAAAATGTCTTGTTAAACCTTGTTTGAAATGTAGTTGAAACTCCAAGTAGCTAATTTGAGTGACAGGCTGATGTGGCCAAATTCTCTGTGTCTTGGTTTGTTATTTTTCCTTTCTTACTTTATTCAAAATTTCTCAATGGACCAATGAATTTGTAAGCCTGTGGTTTTGTTTTATCATTATTGCCTGATACTTGTAACACTGAGCACTTAACTATTTATGTATGAAAGTATATTTTTATGACTCTATATTTGCAATAATCACACAGGTGTACTTGCATGAGTCTGAGAAACTTGAGATTGTTTAACTTATTTAGCATTGCCAAAGGGAGGAGAGGCACGTTGTTGTTTTCCATTTGTTAATAAGACACTAAAATATTGCATTTGCACCTCTGTACCATGTGGCCTGTTTCCATTGTGGCTTCTGGTAAAATGTTGGAACCCAAAGTGCTGTTCATTGTTCTTACTGTTAGCCTTTTGCCTCGATCAAATGTTACTCTTTGTAGGTCTATGTTTTGTACTGAATGAGAATGCCCAAAATCTTATGGAATAAAGACTGACTTGAAAATGTGTGTCTCAGGATTTGATTGCTCTGGATGGATGAACTCTGGAAATTTAAGTTCTGCAATAGCACCATATGTTTGTATGTTGTATAAGTCAATTATAATGCACAGAGAGAAATTGGAATAGCATGTTTATCAACATATTACGACCTAGAATATCAGTGCTGATTTCTTTGTGTATGAGAGAAAGGGAGAGAGGGAGAAACATCTTTTCTATGTAGGCCAAGTCTTACTTTTTATATCATTCTTGTGGCATCAATGAACATCAGACACCCTAAAATGAGTGGGATGAAGGACATGGACAAGTAAAAGAGGGGCAGGTGGTGGTGGCTAGTCTATTATTGGCAACAAAGGTATACAAATGTACTATTTTAATACAATGCAATGTAATTATAGTAGTAGCAGTAGGCTTTAAAAATATGTGGGTACTTTGAAATTAAATGCTGTTTCGTCATTTATACACTAGAGGACACCAGAGTAATGCCCCAATGCCGCGCGTACAGTATGTGTGTGCGTAAATTTAGGGCCAAATTGGCAAAATAGCAATACCTGGATGCTTCAGTAGCGGTGTACATTATTGGGTACGTATCTGAAAAATAAAACCTAGCCGTAGAGTGAAACTGTCTAGCCTAGATAAAGTTTTAAGTAAGAAATAAAGTTGTTAGCTGAAGGCCTGCTACTCAAACGCAGACCTCTTTCATACATAAAACTACATAATTTAATTGGAGCAAGAGGTTGATGGTTGTTTGTGGTCCTGTTCACCGTAGTATATTTGGTTAATATTTCATTGCATACAGATGTCCAGAGGGGAAACACCTTGATGTATTTTTGATGAGGTCAGATCACGTACTGTCATGGCCGCTCCCTGTGGTCCTGCAGGCACCCTGATCTAATACACAGCATACTTTTACATTCAACACGTGTGGGCGGCTTGTCATGCGTTGGTATAGCATGCAGAGGAGGACTGCAACATATTGCCTTTTGATAATGTGTCATAACTTTCCAAACACAAGTCGCTTTTAGGCTTTTAAAGACTTACTACGACAACGAACTGTAGTTGAGTAGGTCCAACATCTTCACTTTAAAGATGCACTTTGTAACTTTTCTGTGGTTAGTACGCCATCTCCTTGTCTCTTTGGAATTGCTTTGCCTATAATATTACACTCCATAGAAAACAAGCAGTTTACAGGTTAAATTTGTAGAGAGGCGACCTGCACACCCTAAGTTTTTCAAGGTATTTTTAGGTGTAAAAAATGTAGTATTATTTTACTACCTGTGTTCAGTAGCGTACTGTAGAACATTTCAGGCAAAGCGATAACATATAACGCATTCCACCAGTAAAGTTAGTGCATCTTTTAAGTTTTAAGCATGTGTCAAGATAAAAGTGTTACCCTACTATAAATACTAAATTACACTGTACAGCTTTAAAGGTGCACTATGTAACTTTTGGGTTGGTATCCATCACCTTCTTAATAATAAATATAATTTAGCACTTATTACAGTATAAACATTTTGAAGTCACTTCTGTTATGCAGATTATGGTCCTTATATGGATCAGATATTATCACATGGTGAAGACATTGGCACATCTTGTGACATGTTTACGCTTGTTGAAACTGTGGTGGCCTGTAGTCAGCCATGTGTTCTGTGGAATAATTAACTGTTCTCCTGGTTGTTTGAGTCATTAGCACTGGGAGCGGGGCTGAGGAGAAGGAGCTGTTTGTCCAAAGGCAGCACAGACACTCATGCCTATTGATGAGATGCTGAGGCTAATCAGGATAGTGGCTGCTGCTGTAACTTGCAGCAGTGTCAAAGCAGGACATTTCAAAATACAGATTATTTTAATGTGTTTTTGACATTGTAGTAGGAAAAATCACCTAGTTTCACCATCATGTAGTACGTTACAACCCATATTATAGTAGTGGGGGTGATATTAAGAAATGTCTGCAAGAAAATAAAAAAATTTTTGCAGACAAATCACGATTTGATCACTTTGTTTTTTTTTTTTTATTGTCTTTAAGAGAAAGTAATAAAGTAATCTTCTTCTGACAGTTCACTCTTCACTGTGAGGAGTTAAATCCAGTCACAATACCGACAATATGTCCCAAACTGCAGATATTACAGTTCGATATTTATCACCAGATCACCCAACCCTATATTATAGGGACTGAGAAATATGCAGTTACAGAGCTCTAAGCTTTGACTCTTACATGTAGCCTAAGCACTACGTTTGATACCTTGTGCTGAAAGAGCTGTTGCCACAATTGATGTGTTTTATGGTGTTGTGTCTTTGGGAGGGGCAGGAGCTGCAGGCTCAGTCAACATCACTGTTTACCTGAGTGTTTAAGCCACAGGGTAAGAGACTGTGTGCTCTATAAACTCAAACACAAGTGCTCCTTGCAACCGTCAAGACACTTGTACAATTGTAATAACGTACACTAACCACTGAACTGGTGCTGTGCCGCATTAACATAACAAACAGTTGCCACTGAACCCTCTTTTCAGGGCAGGTCCAAAAGCATTATAGGCTCTGTCAGAACACGCTCCAGGCCAGGACTCAGGACTCCTTTCTTTAGCTGTGCCCACGTGTTGTGGCCATAGACTGTTGTGGCCCATGGGCGCAGGCAGAAGAATAGGGCTCTGTGTTCACCCTGTCCTTATCGTGTGACCTTTGATCTGTTTGGACAGCGTGACCAGCAGCAGCAGCACTCACAGAAGTCACAGAGACACTGGTCCAGACCGTTACTGTTTACAGCAGAACATAATGATTAATGACAAAGTCACCACGGGCTCATTATGCTGTATAGAAAACAACAAGATGGCCTCATGAATATCAGTACGTTTTCGGATCTGATCTGATGGAGCCATCAGATAGGACATTGGGAGGTAGAGTTTTAAATGTAATTAGTATAAAATGAAATTAATTTTTCCTTCTTCCTGCAATAGTAATTTTGTCCACCAGAGGGCTGAAACAGCTACATCCATTTAGTTTCGAACAGCTTTAAGAACTGTTAATGAGGGAAGTATATGCTAGTCCCAGGACCACTGATCTAGACTGTTGCAACTTACAACGTTCACTGCAACTGTACATAACTTTCATTCTCACCTGAAGGGCTTAATTAATTTTCACCTCTAGTGTGACATAAATGTGTTTCTTCTCACTGCAATAAGTTAAAAGTTAAAATTAAAATACAATTTGTTTTTTAGATGGACCGTTCTCTCTGTAAACTGTAGTTCTGTCCACAGCAAGCAACAACAAAAGCCTCTGCCACCCTTTCTGCCGCCATGACCACTGTTACCACGGAGACCCATTCAGATGCCCGGTGGTGACCTTTGACCTGAGGGGAGCCTGGTGAATGTAGCTGAATGGGGCTGCTGGGCTGGGGCATCTGGGGTATCATCTGGCGTCTAACAAAGGGCCTCACCAGCTGGGGAGGAGGGCAGCAGATAGGAGAGGGTACACAGCAGAGGGGGCTTTTCTTCTGCCCTCTTCAGAGAGAGTGGCCATTGACACTGTGCATCTCATTAGGACCTGCGCCCCCTCCCCTCCCTCTAGAGGACAGGCCAAGGCAGCTGCCTGTCCTGGGCCATTCAAGCTCAAGTGCAGTCCGCTGCAGGACAGGGAGACAGACAGAGGAGAGAGGGTCTGAAAGAAGCTTGTACATATGCCACAGAACTATAGCACACAGAGGTCTGCTACAGCTTCACAGGCAAAACATGTGTAAATGTGCAGGGTAGTTTTGGGCCCACTAGGTTGTGCCAGTGTTTCAGTGTGTGTATGGTCTATTATTTTAACAGGTTATCTTGCCCCTCACTGTGTAACGTTTGACTGAATAAAGCAAATGAGTCACATCAAGACATCGTTTGCAGGCGGCACATTGAGCAGAAGAGATGTGATGTCTCTGAGGCACCAGACCTGGGCCTGTCCATCTCTGTCCATGGACAGCAATATAAAACATGCAAACAGCTGCTGGGCTGCAACACATGTAATCACAAAGCGCAAACAAAGGCACATGCTGCCCTGAACCTCCCAGAAGACCTCTGTGTCACCCATCCTCTGCGTCTCATGACACAGGGTCACTGTGAGCGCATCACAGCAGGACTCAACCTATGGTGGCCACTTTAATAACGGTGCAAAATGACTAATGAGGGAGGAAGACCTTGAACTGGTGGCACTATGTTAAACAGACAAAAACATTTAAAATTTAATATAATTTGAAATTTGAAGATTGCAGTATGTTACATACTATGCATAAATTAAATGTTTTATATTTGTTTGTGGTTAATGTTTGTTAAGTTCCCCTTTTAAAATGTGTCATGTAATGTGCTTATCCTCTAGTGATCCTGGGTGGGGATACTCTGGAACCTGTTTTCCAGGATCAAACAGGGTCGGCAGCAGTGGAAAGTTTCCAGATACAATGCTGATTTGAAACTGGTCTTACCAAAGTAAGTTTACACTGAAAATGTCACATCACCACTTGCCATACTCTTCACATCCACTGCATCCCTGTCATGTTTTAAATTATCTTTAGTCTAAAATGGTTAGGAGCTGCTCAGCCTTCATAATGATAATTGTAGCATGCTCCATGTCTATCCACTTTCTCTCATTTTCAGCTAGCCATTATTATGTGCAAAGTTAGATTCCTAAATTCAAGGGTACAGAGGCCTGTGTCCCCCACCTCTCCTCTTTTCTTGTCATCTCAGCTGATGAATGGGCCTTTGCGTGTGGATTTTAATTACTGTTCTGTCGAGGTGGGAATTGGCCATGCATTAAATTGGAATGAGACACATTTTTCCTCAGCAGGGGAGGGCATAGAATGGAGGGTAAAAGGAGCAAATGGTTACTGTATATTAATTGAACCATCCAGTGGTTTAAAGTTCTGACATGGTGAACAGGGAAAAGGACAGCTTTGTGGTGTGGTTAAACAGAAAGTAAAGTTAAAAAGAGCTCAGGCCAGTGAGTCTGGCAATACAGTGGCGATGATTTTATGAAACATTATCAAAT